CTTTGTTCATTCTCTTTCCTGGATTTCTTTGTATCTAAAATGTAAAGAGAGTTATGTCTTCTATAATCTGCCTAATTTTATCCATGCCTCAGATTGCATTTATCACTTCTATGTTTATGTCCACCAGAAATTTTTCTTTGACTCCGACTTCTCTTTGAGGATCCCTCTATTTTCAATCATCACCTGCTCACCTATACTCCAATGCCATCATAGCACCTTTCTACTCAAAATTTTTCTTCACAGGCTCTTTATCTCACACATCTAGAATCCCATATCTGACTAAGTCCTTTCCATTCTGCTACTGAGACATTGCTCAGTTCTGCCTCAGTGTATCTCCTCCAAACAACTGCCCTGGGTTTGTGTAACGTTTACACTCTACTTCAGCCTTTACCAAGTTATCAAAGTTACTTTCCTAAGATACTGATATAAGATATTGCCCCTGTATTCAAAACCACACAGAGATACATAAATGCAGGTTTATATTTCAGAGTTGTGGCAGTCTATAATCAATATCCTTTTTTTAAAAAATTATTAAATCCTTACTTTATATTTCTTTTCAAATTATGTTATTCATAAATATTTTATTAACTAGAGGCCTGGTGCATGAAATTCATGTACTTGGGGGGTCCCTCAGCCAGGCCTGCACCATCTCACAGTTCAGGAGCCCTCAGAGGATGTCCTACTGATACCACATGAGGAATGAGCCTAAGCCAGCAGTCGGACATCCTTAATGCTGCAGCAAAGGTAGGAGAGGCTCCCACCTGCTACTGCTCTCGCCAGCTGTGCGCCCAGCTCAGGGCTTCTGGCTGAGTGGCACTCCCCCTGTGGGAGCACACTGACCACCAGGGAACAGTTCCTGTATTAAGCGTCTGCCCCCCTGATGGTCAGTGCACATCACAGAGACTGCCGTTTGCTTGATTTGCATATTAGCTTTTTACTATATAGGTATAGGATGATCCTAGTTAGATCTAATTACCATATCCTACTTATGGCAATGATTATTTTTATCATATTTCTATTTTGAAGTATTATGCAGTTGTAATATAGACATTACATGCATGTAGATATTTGTCTTACAGTTTGCCTTATATATAATATATAAATATGCAAGAATTTTTAATGGACTATAATGTAATTTTTATAGACTGCAAAGATAATAAAATAAACAAGCTTTTAAATAATACTAGGGAACTTATATTAACAATCAGTGTATATTTTTCAGTCTGAGTAAATTGCTTCATTTCACTTAAGTCATTTTTTATATTCATTATAAAATTAATATACAACAGAAAAAGGCCAAGTGGGAAAAGTGTGGATATTTTGCTTTATGTGAATTAAGCACATTATTTAATTGATTTGATTTCATAATGCATAATTTAGATCAGCTTGTGAGATAGTCATTTAAAATTCAAATATTGGAAACAGTCAACATGCTTATTTTAACAGATGGAGGCCTGCTACAGATATATTTTACTAGAGTAGATGGCAGCTTCATAACTCTATGGAAAAGAGTTTGCAAAAAAATATTTTGCCTTCCTATGACTGACCTGAGCTCTTTTAACATGCCAGGAATTATTTATATTTATGAAACAGTATTACTGCCTTTTTCATGGACAGTGTTCCAGGATATGTGCAGGATTTTTTTTGGCTAAACACAGTCCTCAAAAATTGCGTTCTAAGAAGGAGAGTGATCAAACATTAGAGTTCAGAAGTTTCTGCATAAAATTAGGTCTTGGTTTTTTACACCTAATTGCCATGTGATCTTGGAAAAGTTACTTAAGATTTTTTAATCAGACAGCCTTGCAATTTTATTTCTAAAATTGAGCTAGTGTTATACTCTCATAATAACAATTAAATGGAAACATATATGCAAGTCACTTTGCTTAGTGCATATCACATGGTAATGTATGAGTCGATATCATTGTCACCCTGAGCATATCAAATGTGTAGGAAGCTCTGATGTCTCACTAACCATCTATTTTACAACAGTAAAATAGCAAATGATTTATATTTGAATGATACAAATAAATGTGCTTTTTTATTTTTATCTCTAACAGATTGATAGAAAAATGAATGCAATAGGTATTTAACAATGTCACATACATGTAAATGTACACACAAAAATCCCAAAATATGATTAGTAAATTTTAAGAAATTATCTTGTGCCTTTAAAGCAATGGAAAATGTAACTTATGATGTTCCTCTGAAGAAATTTTTTTTTGCTTCAGCGTTATTGCTTAACAGGCATGAACAAATTTAGCTAGTTATTATTTATGGATGGAATATATGTTACCTTGACTTTTACATTCAAAAGGCCATTATTTCAGTTTGTAATTTTATGTTGTCTATACAGTTTAATTACTCCCCGTGAGAAATATTCCTGCAAAAAGAGCTTTGGCTTCTAAAGAGATGGCTTTCTGTTTATAAATGGATCCTGTCTTTTCCACCTGAAGGATGTAATTCAAAGTGACAGCACAGTAAAAAGGGCTTGACACAAAGGCATGTAGCATTTCAAGGGGATTAATTTTTTATTCATGCAAAATGTGAGCGCTCCCTTTCTTCTCATGATTTAAAAATATCTCTCACCTGTTAAAGTTCAGACTGCAGTTCAAATATGCATGTCACACAAGCAGAAAATAATTGATCACAGGGATCTACTGGTGTATATGTTCTGCCCTCTCCTTCTTCTGTTTATGGTGACAATTCAACATATGTCATGCGACTCCTTTGCAGCTGCGTTCTAACGAATGGTTTTGAAGCAATGGATGAAAGGAAGTAACAACTTTTTGAATTTCACATTAAGTCGAGTCAGAAGGAATGCAACGTTCCGCCAGGCCTACTGCTTTTCCCAGACTCCCTTTCGCTAGGTGAGACTTGGAAGTGACCTTCCTGCTTCAATGGGGCCTGTGCACTCCTTCCTGGGTCCTGAGCAGACTAGTTCCTCCCCCTTGAAACCTTTTCATTTCCCTGCACCCAGGACCTCCCCGGACTTTGACAAGCCTCCCTTCATCCATGCCCGCAGGGGTTCTATCCTTTCCAGGGCTGAGTTTTATATTCCTGCTTTGAGGAAGGCTCCACTGTCCTCCTTGTGAATAAGAATACTGACACTCTCTAGTCACACGTCTTGTATTTCCTATGCTCTAGATGGAACATACTTTATATGCACAAAACCCCAAAGAGGATCCAGGCTCCCAATGCCACTTTGTGTACCAGAAGCAGAGTTACCTCCTAAGCCCGTGGTCGGCAAACTGCGGCACGCAAGTCACATGCAGCTCTTTGGCCCCTTGAGTGTGGCTCTTCCACAAAATACCACGGCCTGGGCGAGTCTATTTCGAAGAAGTGGAATTAGAAGAAGCTTAGGTTTAAAAATTTGGCTCTCAAAAGAAATTTCAATCATTGTACTATTGATGTTTGGCTCTGTTGACAAATGATTTTGCCGACCACTGTCCTAAACCATCTTTCTCAATTAGCTATTCTACAGCTGGTCACATATATGCAGTAGGAAAAAACAACAGCCTTGCTTGCTGCATTTTGGAACATAGTCTTTATTATTTTCGTGTGCTAGATAATCAAATGCATGTTTCTTTCTCCTTTTTAACCTTTATTTATATTTTTCTGTTTCCCTTAATAGTAAAGGAAAAGTATTGCTCTAAGACTCTAACAATAACAAATGATGCCCAGCCATTTTTCATTTATATGTTGCATTTGCTAAAGTATGATGATTTCTTTCTTTTATAAAAATATATTTTATTCATTTTTTACAGAGAGGAAGAGAGAGGGACAGAGAGTCAGAAACATCAATGAGAAAGAAATAGCGATCAGCTACTTCCTGCACACCTCCTACTAGGAATGTGCCCACAACCAAGGTACCTGCCCTTGACAGGAATCAAACCTGGGACCTTCCAGTCCACAAGCCCAATGCTTTATCCACTGAAACAAACAAGTTAAGGGCTAAAGATGGTGATTTCATAACATTGGCAATTAAAATGTATGATCACTGAGTAAATATACTTCCATAAAAATGATAATAAACTTAAGAAAAAAATGACATAGTAGTAAAATATGGAAAACCACATAACTAAAGGAATAAAATGTCCATTTCATTAAATATTCTCAATGTTATATAACTTTATAAGATGAACCTAAACTATGCTTCTGGAGTCAGAAGAAGAGAATAATTTCCTGTTGTTTTATGAAACTGTCCCTGCAAATGAGTATCTAGTGATTTTCTTGAGTTTCTTATTTAACCAGAAATAGAAACATGTAGTTTCTGTATCAGAAGTCCCAGGAACACTGAACTAATCCTTGAGAACGTATCAGAAATCAAATAGATACCAATACCTGTTAAATGTAACACTGCCAAGGAAAACTAGAGAAAGCACAGGTGAGAAGTATCCATTTTCAATGAGAAACTGAGTAACAGAGTAGATACATGTATGAAACATTCTATTATCATCCAAAATATAGCAATGTTTATCTATTGCAAAACTAAAAAAAAGTAGAATTAAAGTAATGTAAATAGCATCACTTTAATCTCTCTGATAAAAAAAAATGTATATGAGGATGACTCAACACATAATCACTAAAGAGAAGGCAGATAATTCTTATGGTAATTAAATGCTATAGCAAATAACATGGTGGCATATATGTGAAATATGTCTTAAATTACATTGCCATTGTCAACTGCATTACTTTTCAGTTAACGAATTAGAGCAATATCCCAGTCTGTTGTGAATATTTTACTTTCACAGAAATTGACAGCATAAGACTTATTTGTTCAAGTTTTGACTCACTTGTGATATTTTCTATTAAAGTCACACTGTGCATGAGTCTAATGGAAAGGTGAAAATCTGAAGTCATTTCATTTTTATCCATTACTCTGTGCTTATCAAAGACCAAAAGTATCTGAAAAAATGATTGCAATTCCTATAGCATTGGATGACATGTAAGAGCATTTTTAAAAAGCTGCACTGATTCAAACTGAACAGGAAAGAACATACTTTTGGGAAAGCGAGGTGGATTGTCATTGACATCGGTGAGGGTGATGTTGACTACTGTCGTTCCGGCTAACCCTCCCAGTTGTCCGCCCATGTCCTTGGCTTGGATGAGGACTTGGTATTGTTCCTTGACCTCCCTGTCCATGTTTGGCAAAGCCGTTCTAATAACACCTTAAGGGGGAAAAATAACAAAAGATAAATAACACAAGTCGCAATTTCTAAAATAAAATAAGTCTACAACAAGAAAATGATTCTACCTAGATTCAGTAGCAAAGACACAGCAACAAAAATTATGTGTCTTTTAAAAATTGAAACACCCAAAGTGTGGTTAGGACATAAACAAAACGTGATGGTGACAGCCGGGTAATGAAATGTGTAGCACTGTGAAATGTGGTTGAAGAATAATGCATCAGCTGTAAAAGGTGGCCATTCATTAGTCAAGCAGGTCAGTCATTATTTATGCAGAATGATGCTGTCTTTAAGAGAAAATGAAAACTTTCAGCAATTACAGATAAGTATATTAAAAACATTAAGTGATTACACTGAGAGATTTCTAAAGATGACCATTTTCTTCTTCATTCTTAATTTTTCAGGATAAATACATCACTATTTTAAACACACTAAGTATCTCCTTCATATATTTTGTCTTTTAGAGATTCCTCTTAATTATTTTAGCCACTAGTTTTTTACTTAAATCTTATGAAACTTTGACATTACAGAGACCTTGTCTCTCTTATCACCATTTAGGATAGTGCCTGCCAGTTAGAAGGAATTCAGTTGAAAGATTGGCCGAATAAATGAATGAATCTATAAATAATTAAATGTATGATCATGAATCATATAGTATATGTACATATAAACATAGCCTATTTTCCACTCTGTGCCCATGTGTAGAATTAATTTCTATTTCTATTTTTTCATAGTGCAATAACTAAAACCTTCTGGATTTGTTGAGACTAACAAATTATAAATAAATTTTATGCCAAATTCTAATCTATAGCTGATAGTTTTAGCAAAAGATTGCAGAGGATTTGTCTTAAACCCATGTGTCTTTGATAGTGTTGTTCCTTAAATAAAGTAGCACATATGAGGACTAAGATAATAAGAACTCTCAGACCGACACAAAATATAGCCTCTGAATCACAAGCTGAATATCAATCCCATTTAATCTATTCTTTCCACTATTGACTTACCAAATGTTGTTTTGCTGCTAATTCAAATTTAACTATAATCTAAGATTTCTTCGAATCCTTGCCAGGAAACAGTTGCAAAAAGAGGCAAGCTCCATTTTTTGCTACTGCTGCTTTATTTATGCATTGGCACTGCCTTTTATTCCAATCTGTTTTTCCTCTCTTCATCTCAGTTTCCTAATGTTTCATCCCCAAGTCTCTTAACTAAAAGTGTTCATCTCTTCACCTCAATGGCCTGTCCTACATGCCTTAAGCTATATGACTTCTGCCTGTGTTACGATGCTTATATTTTTAGATAAATGCCTGGGTTTTAATTCATATGCATGTTGTGTTGTCCTGTTGTAGATTAGATCTACCTTTACTCAATTCATTATATATATCTCAATTCATCTCTAATATGAATATTTCCAATATGAAAACGTATAAATGTGTTATATACACATACACATATATATTAGGTTGCTGTGAAAGAGAGCAAATAAGAAATAACAGACTAATTTAAGCCTAGATTTTTTTCCTGCTGATTTGTTACAGTCACCCTCATGACCTCAATCTGCCTCGCCCTCATGCTCATCCTGAGTCTGGTAGGCGACCTCTCTGCTCCTTCTAGGCCCCCTTCCGGTAGAATGCTGCTCAACTGGAAAGGCGTGTTAGAGAGCAAGCAGGGCCCTTCGTGCAGTTTCAAAGAAATCTCATTGACGAGTATGACGTGCTTCTGCTACCCACAACCATTCCCACTTAAAACCCCTTTCCCCAGGAAATAAAACGTGGCATTGGCAGAATTTACATTTTTAGAGTTGAATCTAGGGATTCAGGCAAAGTTCAAAGAGAAGATAATCTTTAAACACTGTGGTCCATTGAATCTGCTTGAAGGAAAACAAACTTACTTTTCAAGAAGTTACTCTTTTTCTAGATGCACACTGCTTATTAACTGCTTACATTTAAAGCCAAACAAACAGAAGTACATTGCATGGTCTTGAACAGGGAGGAATCTTGCCAAGTACCGGGCTTAAGTGCTAGTGGAATGCAACCAGCAGAAATAAATGCCGCATTCTGCTCTTTCTGGTCCTAGGCCTCAGTTCATGAGCCCATTTTTACTTTTCAATAGTTGTATATAAAGATATAGCAACAACCTTGTATAATAATAGCTGCAGCCTAAAACTCACATACACACACACACACACACACACACACACTTTATTGGAGAATATTAGTACTTTGTAGGAATGATACCACAAACTTTAATTAATCTGAGATAAATCCTATTTATTGGGGGAAGAAGAATAGGTAGGTAAATATTCATTGGATCCTAGTAGGATTTGAGTGTGTTAAGCCCGATGAACTTTCCAACACATATAATTAATATGATAATTAGAGTAAAAACCAAAATGAGGAAAGTGGATTTTATTTCTGCCAAAATTAATGGAAATATATGGCTGAGGGAATTATAAACTTAAAAAACTGTATATGCAGGGATGCTAGTCTTCCAGGGAATATATCCACCATCTGTAATCACCACATGTTGTATACAAGATCCTTAATCTGGGTGGATATCAACCTATTTTGTAAAAACGTGTTAAATATGCTGAAAACAAAGTGAGCTAAAAATAATGCCATACTACATATAAGAATGAAAATATTACATATGATAATCCAGGATATTTATATAAACTTTTCTTGAATTGAGGGCAGGACTGAGACATGCTACACTGGACTGAGTGAGCATTTGTACTACAATATGTTTCATTCAGGCACTGTGATTAGGTTTGAAGGTATAATAGCAAACACTCTTCCTTTTATTCCTCCAGACCCACTTCATACACTTTTCTAGACCTCTATCTGTTTTCTGGCTTAGGCCCGTGGTTGCCTTAGGCCCGTGGTAGGCAAACTGTGGCTCATGAGCCACATGTGGCTCTTTGGCTCTTTGAGTGTGGCTCTTCCACAAAATACCACGGCCTGGGTGAGTCTATTTTGAAGAAGTGGTGTTAGAAGAAGTTTAAGTTTACAAAATTTGGCTCTCCAAAAAAATGTCAATCATTGTATTTTTGACATTTGGCTCTGTTGACTAATGAGTTTGCCGACCACTGCCTTAGGCCAATTGTTAGGAGATGGGATGGTATAAAGGAGAATGAGGTTGGGTTTTTCTTTTCATGGAAGCCCCCCTCTTTCCTGTTGCAGTCCCTCACCTCGCAATGTCTCCAGGCCCCTCTCATTCCTTCAGCCTCAGTGTGGCTGCTGCGTGTACTTGTATTCCTCTTCCAGATCCTGGCCTGTCCCCATCGTTTCCCTACAGGCTGCTCGCACTTTAATAAAGAGCTCTATTATTAAATGAATCCCAAATTGCCCAATGGGGTGCCATCTGTTTCCATCTGGGATAATAATTAATACAGTCTCTGTACAAGATTTTCGTGTGGAATGCACATCTAATGCTATGTGTTCATGTGGGGTGGTGAGGAGGCCATAAAGAAGCACTTAAATAATTACGCTAATTTCAGATGGTGATTAGTGCTACGAGGAAAAAGAAATCAAGTGCTGTTAAACATAGTGTCAGGAAATTACTCTCGGGCAAAGCTTTAGCGCTGCCATCTCAGAGAAGTAGAGAAAGCAGACCTGGGATTAACACAGGTTGGCGTGTCTCAGGGTGGCAGAGAAGGGGAGCACAGCCCTCCAGGGCACCCGGGGAGAGCCCAGATGGCCGCAGCATCCTGCTATGGGAAGGGTGGTATCAAAACAGACCACAGTGGGGGAAGGAAGTCACAGCGCTTTTCGAAGATAAATAAACTTTCTGGGAAGCATCTTGAAAATCAACAAGCAGAACTATATCAAACTAAACAGCGTCTGGCCCGCAAAAGAATCAGTCAGCAAAATTAAAAAGCAATCTACAGAATGGGAGAAAATATTTGCACATCTATATCTGACAAGGGATTATTATCCAAAATAGAAAAAGACTCATATAACTCAACAACAACAACAAACTGTTAAAAATGGGCAGAGGAACTGAATAAACTTTTTTTTTTTTTTTTTGCAATGAAGTTATACAAATAGCCACATGCAAAGGCTTTCAATAATCACCACAGAAAGTCAAATCAAAAGCTCGCTAGGTATCCCAGGTGTAAGAATGGCTGTCATCATAAAGACAAGAGAGAATAAGGGTTGGGAGGAAGTTGAGAAGAATAACTCTTGTACACTGTGGGTGGAGAAGAACATTGGTGCAGCCATTATGAAAAACAGCATGGAGGTTCCTCAAAAATTAAAATTAGAGCTCCCTTCTGGTCGACAATCCTATTTCTGGACATATATCTAGAGAAAATATAGTAAAAATAAAAATAAATAAAAACAGAAACTCATAGAATATTTGTTCTCCCATGTTCATTGCAGCATTATTCTCAATAGCAAAAATAGAGAAACATTTTAAGTGTTCATCTGTGGACGATTGGATAAGGAAGACTGGATACATAGAATAGGATATTGTTCAGTCGTGAGAATCAGGGAAATCCTGTCCTTTAAACAACAGGATAAAACATTTGCTCATTACTCATTATCTGCTTTAGCATTTCCAGCAATTTGAAGCACATAGTCTCACAAGGCACTACTCTTATTTATGGGCAAGTACTAACATCTTTTTTTAAATATATATATATATATATATATATATATATATATATATATATATATATATATATATGAATTTTTTTTTTCTTCCTGGAATTCAGACCAGCCACTGATAGCCGATTTCTCCAGCAGCACAGACTACGGCTAGTTCTTCTCGTACCTGACAGCTCTACAGCTTCCTCAGGCATGTAGCACATCCCCCCAGAGCACGTTGCTCTCAAGGTCAAACATCCTCACTTCTGTCTGCTGAAGTTCCGTGACTTTTAAAACTAGGCAAGTGCAGTTCACACAGAGTTCTCACAAAGTGGGGCAATGGTTCTCACAAGGAAACCATTGTCTGCAGAACGTTTTCAGTCATGTAATTTTACCACAGATATGCAAAACATTTTAAAAGAGGTAAGCTGTTGTTTCATCTTAATACTTGCCTATTCCCTGAACACATTTCCTTCCTTACATTTATCACCATCTATTGCTTTTCCTTTCTTGTTAAGTTCCTATTAGTCCTTGTATTAACAGGGGGAGGGGGATAGTAGTGATTGTTTTCTGTGGCAAATGCTCTTTTTTGGTTTATGAAGAAAAAAGTTACATCTCTCTTACCAGCACAAACCGAGGTGTCTGAATCCTGTAAGACTTAACTCTGAATTAATATCAAAAGCATTTTCAAATAATAAAGCATTCTTAAATATTTATATAGTTGCTATAAAATATAACTTAAAATATAAACTCTGGCAGTGTTTTCCTTTTAATACGGGGCTCAAAACACCAATACATTTTTATATTTTTATTTTATTTTTCTTTATTAATGAAGGCCTTACATATGTGTCCTTATGCCCTCATTGTCTCCTCCTCCCCCCCCCCCCCCCCCCCCCCCCGGCCCCCTCCCACACACACACACATACACACACACTTCCATTCATACCTTCACCCTCCTGGTGTCTGTGTTCATTGGTTAGGCTTATATGCATGCATATAAGTCCTTTGATATCTTCCCATTACCCCCACCCTCCCCTACCTTCCCTCTGAGGTTTTAGCATCTAATTGGTGCTCCTCTGTCTCTGGATCTGTTTTTGTTCATCAGTTTATGTTGTTCATTATAATCCACAAATGAGTGAGATCATGTGATATTTATCTTTCTCTCACTGACTTATTTTGCTTCCAACACATATTTAAAGTCCTGAAACAATTATTATCAGTCAGGATATGGCAGATTTCATTTTGGACACAGCATTGAAGATTATAAGATATTTGACTATCACCTGAAATAAAGGTGATAGTCAAATTTAAAAAGCAAAAATCTTGAGAAAGAGTGATTTCTCTCAGCAACCTTTATGGGGCTTCCCTGAACATAAGCTAGGATTGGTTCTCAGAGCACAAACCATCAGAATTGTGAATAAAGGATAAAGGGGTGTGTGGAGTATGTCATGCATGGAACTCCATTCTCACTTAACTGTTTTCATATGAAATCTAGAAATTAAGGTTTAAATACATTAAAAAAACACACTCATAAATGCACATTTGACAATGAACATGATATTGCAAAAAAAGTTCCAAAGATAGATGATCATAATGGTTGCACAACAATATCAATGTGCTTAATGCCATTGAATTATACACTTAAAATGGCTAAGATGGTAATTTTATTATGTCCATTTTGTCACAAAATTTTTAAAGTTCAGAGAAATGAAAAATTAAGTTTAGATTACATAATGTTCTCCCAACTTGGGGCTCAGATAATTTAGGAAAATAGAATATATGATACACATAGTAGCAGTATCTAATTATCCATGTCAGACTAGTTTTTTAAATCAATCAGGGAAAATTTTAAATAATTTAAAATAATCTTAAATATAATTTAAGACATAGGGTAAGTAATTTATAGTAATGTTTGTTTTATTCAATTAAATAATTCTATAATCAATTATATGGAGATTGTAACACAGGTTGGGGTATCCCAGTGAGGCAGAGAAAGGATAGTATAAAGGGGAAGCATTCTGATTTCTTACACTAGGTAAAATATTACAATGTCTGTTGTTTGATGTTTTATAAATTGTGAGTGTTCTTCTAATTAAATTTAAGTGTAAAAATGTATGTCATACAGCATAACATGCTAATATAATACATATATAATAGATTATAAAATTGATTAAAAGTATACATATTATTTAATATTTTATAGGTTTATCTCTATTTGTGAGTTTTAAAACATTTTAATTTTGAGGCAAATATATGAATATTTGAATACTAAATTAGAAAAAAAAATTATTTCAGAGTTAATCCAAATAATGTTTGTCACACAACAGTGTCAATAAAAAAAATCTTTAAAATTTTTTCTTATTTTAAATTAAAAATAAATGGTTATATTTATCTCTTCATAAATTTTAGGCACTAGAAGTTTAGATGAGACTCTTTAAAAATTGTTTTTAACTGTATTCTACACTCATATGTGGAAACTTTTAAGATAATAGTTTCTCATGCATTTTATTTAATAATAGCAAAAGGAATCATAAAAGAAAGCTATATGGCTGGAACAAATGGAGACTATTTCTGAGAAATTGCAATTATGCTTGATTTTTTATTTACTCTTATTAACCACAGGGTGATAAATTTGACAAGAAGTCTTCTTAATGGTTTCTGTGCATAAAAAACTAGTTATCATTTTATTAATGAAGCGTTTCATCATCCACTCTTTTCCTGTCTAGTGGTCTGAGGTATTGTTAGTATCAAGACTTCTGTCTCCAGTGAAAATCAATGCTTCAAAAAATCTATTCCCTAGTTTATGCCAGAATTGTTTCATCTTCAGTTTTAAATACTAATCATTATGTAAAAAATACAAGCACACAATTATAAGCCATATTATGAATATACTACTTTTCTATGATATAATATTTTCTAAAAAGAGAGTTTATCTGAGGGTGGTAATTAACAAGTAAAGTCAAGGGAAGTGCAAGTGTTTTGACTCATATAATTTTATCTGTCTAATATTAATTTCACTTTAATAATTATATTTTTACCCATGCTTTCTGATTAAGTTCATCTTTATATGATTTTATCTGGTGTTTTCTTAAAACATAGATATTGGCTCCATCTATAGTTATGTCACCAATGTCAAGTCCTTCATCTTTCTGCACCCACATTTAATCTGAGTACATAAACTCACCTAGTCTATAATCACTGCAAGCCAATAACTGTACTCTAATACCTCAACAATTTCTCACCTCTTTTCTCTTTTCTCCATCCCCTCTGTCTCTAAGAAGCACTTCTTAGAGTTTGAAAAGATCTAAGACATATGTATTGTTCTTACTTCTGTTCTTTATTAGATTACCCGTTACGGTACACTTGAAAAGAGAGGTAATAATATAAGAAAAAATTAACCCGTCATGCTTCTGCCTAATAAAATGATGTACAACATTTTAGATAACTTCCCTTCAATATTTGCTGATATATTTCTCTTATCCAGCATGTAAAACAAGTTTTCTGAAACATGGGAACCTCATTTTATTTAAAAATGAATACAAAATATTTCTGTCTACCTTCTTCCCTTTCTAGACTTCCCATAGATTCTTATATATTTGTTTTTGAAAACAATTTAAATGGCTTGACTTAAAAATGAGACTGATTTTAAAAATATAGACTAGTTTGGCGTTTCCAGTTTTCCAAACCTATCTTTTCCCTACTAGAAGCAGGGAAAATCCAAGTCCATTATCCATAACCTGAAAAATATTAATAGAAGCTTCATGATCTTAGCATATGTCAACAAGGCCCAAAACTGAACATGATTGAACCCAACCAAGAAAACCTAAAATAAAGGCCTGTTTTAGCCAGGAGAATTAAAAAAAAAAAAAGAAAGAAAGGACTTTTGAAAATTTGAAAAAAATCGTATAGAGAACTCTAAATGTAGAGTTGACACACATATGTAAAAATATTTATATCTACACAAAGTTCAATCCAAAGGAAATAGTTCTGCAGCAGTGAGGTACGATCCTATCTTCCTTTGCTTAATTGCAGTGTATGCAAACTTTACTGTAATATTAGAATAGGCAACTTCCTATGCCAAGATTTAATGAAAGTTTAAATGTTTGCAGGCATGGTGGTAATGCTGTTTCTAATACAACATTTACCTGTCTTGGGATCAATAGAGAAATAAGGTTGTCCCTGCAGAATGCTGTAAACGACTCTAGCGCTGTTTCCATAGGTTGGGTCATCTGCATCCGTGGCCTTGACCTGGAGCACATATGCACCTGGAAAATAAGAAGATATGACTCTAGCATCTTTATTTCACTGAGATCAAGGCCATGTAAGTTATCTGCTGGGCTATTTTTTGGGGGGAATTTGGCATTACTCCGTGAGCATATGATGTCACTGAGAATAATTTAACCATTTTAACCAAAATGTTAGGCAATAATACAGTTTGTACAAATGATTACATGCTTTACATACCAATTTTAAGAGCTATGTCCATTTCCAGTAGCTAGATCATTGAACTAAAAGTCATCACAATAATTTTATTGATTTGTACACCATAAAGAACATGCCACTGCTTACATTAGCTCTTCTGCTTACTACGGATGCTTTAATTTCATGATTAGGATATCAATAGAAAAGCTAAAAGGTTTAAAGGCTTATTGAACTTTCAAGGGTGTAAGCAATTTGCTATTGCAATTTAAAAATCAACAATTACATACCAGCATTAGGAAACCGTTAATTAGATTAATATTTGAGAAATTGAGGAACCCCAGATAATTGCAAACATAACTGTGAGACCATCTCTATGTCTCTAGACTGCATTAACCCAAAGACTCATTGACATGGAACATTAAAGACAATCCTAATTATCTGTAGCAATTCTCATTTTTTCTGACACTTGGTCATATTACTTATGAACTAAGAGAAATTGAAAGGAGTTTTTTTTGTTTGTTTGTTTTTTGGTTTGTTTGTTTTTTAGTCTTATATATCCACTGGAGGCCTGGTCCATGAATTTGTGCACTGGTGAGGTCCAGTCAGCCTGCCCCGTTGGGGGCTGAACAGGGGAAGGGCCAGCCAGGGTGAGGGACCACAGTTGTTCCTATAGTTCCAGTCATTCTGCCATTTTGTCGCTGGGCTTTTACAGTATTATATAAGATAGTCATAGTTGAGTGTTTAAAAACTTATTTTTGACTTTTTATTAAGTAAAGCTGCATTGGTTATTTCAGTTTTAAGTGCACAGAATAGTTGTTTGAGATTTTTATGCCTTACCATTTGATCACTCCACTAAATCTAGTAATCATGTGTCACCTTGTAAACTTATCATGATATTATCCATCCCTTTCCTTCTGGTAATCATCCCTTTGGTCTCTGCCTCCTACAACTTTTTAAGTGAGTACCTCTTCTTACTGTCCTGTTCAAAGCCACTATTCTAATGTAAGAATGAAGTAAAAACAAGAATATCAAACAAGAAATAAATTAATTAATATGTTGCTAATGAAGGAAGGAAATCTCTACTGAGCAAAAAGGAGCAATATGTGCACCCAAAGTTATACAATTGGCAGCACCCCTTTCACCTCTTGGAGGAGTCAAAGGTAACTGCTCAGTTTGGGGGATATAAAATTGCTACTTTCCTTTCAGTTACTCACTTAGGCTTTTTTTAAAGAAATATTTTGAAACAATATCCAAATTTTACAATCAAAGTATTGAAGTGCAGTGATGTTACAGTATGCATTAATTTGTTGATTCATTAAACATAAGTGGATTAAAGTGCATTGATGGTCTGTGTAAAATCTCTCTCTTTTTTTTTAATTTCCCAGATGTATATAGGTATTCTCTTTTTGCTTTTCTTTTCTTTTATTTATTTACTTATTTATTTATTTATTTTAATATATTTTATTGATTTTTTTTTTTTAACAGAGAGAAAGAGAGAGGGATAGAGAGTTACAAACATTGATGAGAGAGAATCATCGATCAGCTGCCTATTGCACGCCTCCTACTGGGGATGTGCCTGCAACCAAGGTACCTGCCCTTGACCAGAATCGAACCTGGGACCTTTCAGTCTGCAGGCTGACGCTCTATTCACTGAGCCAAACTAGTTTCGGCTTTTCTTTTCTTTTAAAAACAATTACTTTTATTGTTGAAAGTATTACATATATCTTCCTCTCCCCCACACTTTGATCCCTTCTAGCCCACATTGCGCCTTCCCCCCTCCCCCCCCGCCCCAACCAGGCTTACACATAAAAGCATACAAGTTCTTTGTTTAATCTATTCCAATCCACCCACCCACGCCTTTCCTCTGAGATTCAACAGTCTGTTCCATGGTTAAATGTCTCTTGGTCTATTTTGATATTCTATTAGTTGAATATACTATTTGCCTTTTCTCATCCCCACCACTAACTCAACTGGCTTGCAACCCCACTTACAACTGCAAGACTGAAAAACATTCTAACTTGCTTTTTCCTCCACCTCTTTTTACATAGAGGCATCAGAGTCATTGTCCCATTGCACAAAATCAACCACGGTACTCTCCACTAAAAAAAAAAAAAAAAAAATTAAAAAAAAATTAAACATATGATGGGTTTCTATTCCTAGTAAAAGAAAAATAATCTAAACCCATTGACATGCTATGGATATCATGGCATGAGTGGGTTTCAATATCCCTCCCAGAGAAGTTTCCCACTGTGCTGCCAGGGACCTCCTGCAGGGACCACACAGGCTTATTGGCTGTTTCTTTGAGGCTCTTTCCCTCATTTTGCTCTTCTCCACTTGACCCTGTTACTGGGAGGGCATTCACCTCCACTAGCTGGAAAAATCCTACTTGCCCTTGATATCCCAGCTCCACTGACTTTTCTAAGAGAAGTAGAGATATTTTTTTCACCCTTCTGTACTCTTGTGAATGATGAAACCATTCACCTCAACAGTCCTTCCACATTCACTCTTTGTACATGTAGTGTCTGTTATGAAGTAAGCTAAGCCTCAAACAAATGTTTATAGGTTTGATACTTACAGTACTCATATATACATACAACGGGCACAAATACTGTACACACAATACTCTAAATGGGTGATCCAGTAGCTAGTTATGTCCTTTACAGGATTTTAAAACACGAAATTGGGAGTTTAACTTGTCTTGAATTTCAAATGTATTGATGTTCTCACTTCAGAAAACAGAACTCAAAAATGAGTGACATTGCATTTAAAAAACCCCATAAGTAAGACACAGCCACAATATGCAATGCAAACCCAGGGAGTTTAATATAAATATCTTTGTGAATAACATTAACCCTTCACACCGATGAATAAACAGGAAAAGAGAGAGGAATTTCACATGGCATATCATTTCCTATTTGCTTATACTTTATGTATACATTGCATTATAAACAAGAAATAATGCACTTAGAGTTAGGTAGAGAATCATAAATACATAGAAATTGCTTCTCAAACAGAATTTGAAAATATATGTACATATTATTACATTAAAAAGGCATCAACAGCAGAGAAATGTAAAGCAGATAGGTTTTTAGAGCCAAGGCAGAGAGAGAGAGAGAGAAAGAGAGAGAGAGAGAGAGAGAGAGAGAGAGAGAGAGAGATTGCATGTTTGAGATTCCACAAAGATATTGTTGGTCTGCTAAAGCAGAATTTAATTATTAAAACTAAGCATAGATGCACAGCAAGTGAGTTTAGGATTTAGAGTAACTGGGTACTTTAATCCACTGCACATTAGATTTCACCGAACTGCCCATTTGGCTCTTCCTTCTGAGGATCCTCTTACTGTGTTTGCCCCTGAAACCTGTAAATGATGCCTCTGACTTCTTCATCCCCCACAAGGGCTGCATATGAGGCATCTACAAGGACGAAGAATATCAGTTCCTGAGCCCCCATCAGAAAGTCTAATTTCATTGTTCTGGGTGTGCCAAGTGTCAGAACTTTTTACAATTCTGGCAGATAAGTCTAAAGAGTACCCAGGCCTGAGAAGCTCAGTCCCATACAATTTCTCTAGAAACTTTCCTCAATAGAAGAGGTTACTAGCATGATTTCTATTCTCAAGTCCCACCCCTCCATGTTCTTATACTGACCTAGACTTTATCATCTGGATGTTAGAAAAAGCAATTTTGAGAATACTTATTTAAAATGTATCAACATGCAAATGAGACTAGAATGGTTGGATCACTTCATTAGCGACTCAAGAAAGAAGAGTTTGTATACTTGTTAAATCTGTCTGAAATAACCAGAACTTTTAATGATTAGAAAGGACTTATGCCGTAACAATCTCCCAGAGTAGCAATATTGCACCCTTTAAATGTACTTCCAGAATCACAGCAGGAAATGTGTGTGGTTTCTCTCTGAACCCAATTCCGACCCTGCTCAGCCCGGCCTCACAGTGTCCCCCAGCAACCCTAATGCTGTGACAACAACATATGATTTGTTATTCAGCCCAAGACCCCAAAAGCACTCTAAGGTTATAAAATCCCATCCTAGCTGTGTCCTAAAAATTTTAAACTATACATATTTATACCTTGTGAGTCAACTGTACTTTGATGGATAAGTGAATCCATTTTTATGAGCCTTTTATCTCTCCTCTGTGTGCCAAGAATTCTATACCAGGAACATCAGTACAAATGCTAATGTCTGCTCTCAGTGACACCTACTGAATTCCGATTTCCAGTTGTCTCCTTTGTGCCGAGTGTCATTTGAAAATTATATTCACAGGAAATTCCATAAAATTCATGATGAAAGATACTGGTTTGGAATTCATTCACTCAGTGGCTCTAAGCTATAACTCAGTAAGCTTTGCTTTCTTTATCCTTTCTGTGCAGTGTTGTATTCTTGAAGATTAAATAAAGCCCATCTGATTCAAATGCCTTTAAGCAAGGTGTTAAGGATGGTTAACGTGATTAATTTGCTTATCTAATACACACCATACACACCTAACCTTAATTGTTTTTATTTGTTTGGATGATTCTGCTATGTAAAGGGTAAGAAAAATAATCAAGCCATGAATCAATGCATCCATTCAATCATTCATTCATCTATCCCATGTATCCATCAACTCTCTCTCACTCTATTTTCATTATCTATCCATCTATCTAGTTTTAATGGAGGGAAAAAATACAAATTGAGTGTGTGCGTGTGTGTGTGTGTGTGTGTGTGTGTGTGTGTGTGTAAACCATAAGTCAGAATTACTGAATTGTAGAACCAGCTTTGTAATTAAATATATGATCTTTTTGAAAGTTATTTTAATTCTGTAAAGATAATGGGATTTCGATGGATGATG